TGTCCATCTGCTGAAATACATGCAATGATAGTGCTTCTTTTTGATGCTCTTGGTATACCAACCTTGACACCCTTTCCAGATTTGCTGAAGACGGAAACACTCTGTTTATCTGCCCACTCATTAAATCCCACTTCATCATTGTTGAACAATAGAGCGTATTCAATTCCATTGAAATTATCTTCAAATGTCAAATAATTATTCAATACATTTTTATAATTTGTTTGAATTCTTTCCATTTCTTCCGGTTTGGCTTGAACTTCATCATAACCATGAAACTTTTTAGCGTGTTTGATTATTCCCTTTCTTGTCATTTCGAACTTGTAATCAAAAGACTAACAAAGGAAATCAAACAATGTTGGAGTTACACTTAAACAACGTGAATCACAATAATCAAACAAAGAAGCAATTGCAGTATCCATTGTTTCGTTGATTTTACAAGAATGAATGGGTTCTGATACTCTTTGTTTTAAATGTGTCGATATTGCTCCTTTGGTAATACCAAATAACAGACCAGGTGTTTTATTGCTCACTTTATAACGAATCTTTAAATGCTGTATTTGTTGCACTGCGCTCATTTTTCTTTCAAATTCTTCATCGCTAGCAAACGCTGAAATGTTCTGAAGTGCTTGAATGTAAAAGTCATCTATCACTTCTCCCTTTTTATAGGACTGCACCAAATTCAGCTTCATTTGCTGTCTTGATATTGCTGCTTTTCTTTTGGGTTTGTTGATTGGTGATTTAAAAGGTTTCACAACTTGGCCCGCCTCGACGATGTTTTTGATTTCTTCGAGAAAATTTCCTTGTTTTTCAAATTGCATTTTGTTTCTAAATTTTTAATTCAAAAAATATTTAAATCATTATTTTTTAAAAATAGAAATGTTTGAAAATTTATCAATTTTGTTGTTAAATGTGATAGAAAAAATAACTACCGAAATAATAGTTTTAAGGGGCTAATGTTTAGTTGCCGGCTAATGTTAAATAGACAATCTGTAATTATAATATAAAAAATGTATGGATACTTTATTATTATTACTTGTTAAAATTTTCAATTTAAAGAAACGCTATTTTTATTTAAATAATTGGGTTAATTTTGAAAGAGTAAATGTTTTAATAAATATACTTAATAATTTAAACAAAATTTGTATTTGTGTAATATCTTATTAATTATATTTCGGTATAACTACAAAATATTTTTAAAAATAGAAATGACATGATTCTGTTATTTATTTTTAATGAAAAGGAAATGTCATTAAGTATAAAATAACAAATAAATTTCCCATTTTTATTTTTGAAAAAACAAACAAGAAATTTAAACATAAAATTATTTTAATGTTAAATATTAAAATAAAAATTGATTAATTGTCAACAAGTTGATAAACAACTATTCTTTTTGGCGTAAACTTGTCGCCATCGATTAAATCACCTTCACTCGTTGCAAATTTGTATGAGTGACAATGATTTTTATCTACTCCCTTTTTATAAACACCGATGTCATAGTCATTGATATAATTACACCCAAATGCAAACAGTCTATTATAACGTTCTTTTTGTGTGTACAAATTAAACGCGTCGCATTTTTGTTTCACGTTGAATATTTTTGTATTAAAAATTCCATTTCTCTTCAACGAAAAGACGAACGTTTTGTCATCGATTTTAAATTTATTCGTTTCATCGATTTTATCAAAAAACACGCCACCAAACTTGTTGTTCTTTGTATCTTCAATTAAAAAACACAAATTACTTTTGTTGATAATTTTAGAGTCAAACACGGAGGTGTCATTTGACCAGTCATCTACGTCACTATTAAACACAACACTTGATATCTTCTTATTCAAAAGATTTTCTAAGCGATCTTGTTCTTCAAGAGATATTAAAAAGGGTATATCTGCGTTTTCTGCGTACTTTCTATACATCTCACAATTTTTGATTTGCTCGATTTTAAGCATTTTTTCAGAATTGAGAAGTTCGAGTTGTTCTTCAAGCGGTTTAGTTTTTATTTTGTATTGTTCTTCAATTATTGAAATTTGTATATTAATAACATCCTGCGCTATTTTAAATTCATTTTGCTTTGAAACTTCATTAAAATCATTTTTCATTTGGTTTGTTATTACATCAAGTTCTTTTAAAACGTCGGCAAATGACTGAATTACAACTTTTCTTTTTAAATAAGTTTCTTCAATTTTATCATAAAATCCTTCTGCATCAGTAAGTCTTTGAGATAATGAGTGTGACTTGTTGTCAATGAAAGTTGTTTTGATAACTACATCATTTAATGTTGTGTATTCGCTCTGCAATTTGTCAGAAAGTGTTTTTAATTGTGTAAAATGATGATCCATTTATATTTATTAATATTCAGTTCATTCAAGTTTTTCAAATTTAATGAAATTTCATAATAGTTTATTTCATTTATTTTTTTTCTTATTGTTTTTTTTAAATAAATATTTATTATGAAAAAATCAAATTGCTTAGCTTTCTATAAAATATTATGCTACTTTCGTTTATAATACCCATTTTCTAATAACAATTTTATTATTTAATTGTTATTATTAAAACAAATCTAGAATCTCAAATAAATTGAGAAATGAAAAAAATTGATGTTATATCTTTCATATACATTGTTTATGTGTTGATCATTGTTAGTTTAAATTCTAACATACTGAAATACTTGTTTTGAATGTCAGCCATTGGCTCAACAATAAAAACAAAATACTGATTATTCAAACAATAAATATTAAATAATCATAAATTAAATAATATTTTTTAAAATGTTATAAAATTCGAGTTATGATCAATTGTTTTTAATTTGTAATTAAATATATAAATAATTTAATTTTAATGTTTAAAAAACAATGGTTTATATTTTATTGTTTTTAAGTTTTCAAACATGTAATGTTTAAAATAGATTATTTACCACACAACAAAATAATTATAAAATAACATTTTATAGTATATTTTATAATGATTTATAAATACTCAACTCAAACAAAGATGAAGATTATATGTGACAAATGTGATGTTTGAATTTTTAATTTAAAAAAATAATCATGTTTGAATATTAGAACATTCTATTAATATAATAATTTATATTTTCGGATATTAAAATATGAACACAATTCACAATATTAAATTTGTTTTATAGAAGTGGTATTGAAAAAGCATTAAAATTTTATTTAATATTTTAATAATTATTGTTTTTATATGAAATTGATTGAATGAAATATCCATTATTCACAAAAATATTCATGTTATTATTAGGTATAAATTATCTATTTAAACTCGAGTCATTATGAAATATACATCAAATGATTTCTATCATTCTTATCTCATTTGTAGCTCAAGCTGAATATCTTATGTCCATGGATAACGAATACATGAATGTCTATCTTCTTGATAAGTGTTATTATACTGGAGGCAACACTTATACTAAATATGTGAGAGAAGACAAGAAAGCAAAAGGTTACACATCAGCAACTTGTGGTAATTGGCATGATGAGGGTTCTTTTGATCTTGAGAATGGTCAGTCATTTGTTGATAACCTTCCAGAATACTCAGTAGTTGTTTATTCATACATTGATGCTAAAGACTGCAAAATCAAAGAAAGTGAAGCAAGACCAATAGAAATGATTCTTAAATCTGGGTGTATCAAAACTTCAGAAACAACTTCAACAAAAACAGAAAATAAAGATGGAAGATTCATGAAAAATGATTATGATGCATCTAACAGCTGTACTGGAACTCCATCAAATATCATCAACAAAGAAATGGACAAATGCTTCACGGATATCGACGGCTTTTATTACACCGCCAAAGACTCTGCTGTGACTTTTTCAGTGTTCATAGCATTCGTATTGGCTTTTCTATTTTAATTAAGTTTTAGATAAATTGTTATTTTATAAAAATATATTGTGTTTTAATATTTCACAAAAACAGTTTAGAATCAAATCATTTTATGTTTTTACTTGTTAATTTGAGAAGATAGACAAAGTTTTATAAAAATGAGCAATTAACTCTGATGTGTTTGAAATGAAAAATATGGATAGATAGTTTTTTCTATATATATATTTATTGTTAATAACGGTGTCCGGACAAAAAATGTTGGCAAAAATAATGTAGGACAAAATAATGTGGGCAATAATAACAATTCAACAAAAGTTCATTTGAATTCAACAATTAACAATTTTTTTAAAAAAACATTTTTTTAAATCTATTTTTATAAATAATTATTCAATTAATAGAACTTGATTCAATATCAATTTTGTAGTTTTTAGGTCAATTTCCCGATAAAATATAACATTAAAACCATATTAAAATGCATTTGGTAGTGACTAACTTAATAAATACAACAGAAATAAACATCTTGTGATAAAACTAATTAAATAAACCGATTAAAATTTATGCTCGGGCAACAAACTAGCCAGAAAAAAACAAAAAATGGCAATTATAGAGAATTGCCTATTGTAGATAATTATGTATTTAATTGGGATTATGGTGATATTTACAAGTGCAAAAGTAAAGGCTGTCCAGTCAAAATACAAATCACTGAACAAGAAAGCATCAACGGGAAAGTGTTATTTAAATCTTTTCGTTTCGTCAATACAACTTTAATTCAACATTACCACCAAAAACACATGGCACTTAAAAATACGAAAAGAAAATTTTGTTAAAAACAAACGTTGAAGAAAAAGCAATTTTATTGTTATCAACAAACACGATTGTCGACTTATTACCAGATATGGTCACTGCTAATTCAAGAAAAAGTACCATTACAAGACAAACAAATAGAATAAAGAAAACTGTGATTGATAGAGAGTTGGACAATATATTACATCAAGAAGACAAATATTTGTATAGACAAACCGAAGAATTTGTCATTTTTGCTAGTCGTTTGAAAATGGAATTGTTGAAAAATAGAAAAATATACTGTTTGTGCATGGACGGAACGTTTGCTTCTTGTCCAGAAGAGTTTAGTCAATTATACACAATACACTGTTTACTCCCAAATGGTCAGTGTTTTCCTTTGTACTATTGTTTAACAAAACGAAGAAGAATGGAAGACTATATCAACTTGTTTGCCGTATTACAAGAAACACACCATGGTATTTTTGGCAAGTTGTTGTTTACAAATGAGACATCAACAATGAGTGACTTTGAAAATGCGGTTTTAAATGTATTAGAGTCGTTTAATTGTGATGTCCATTGTTGCATGTTTCACTTTTGCCAATGTGTTTGGCGCAAAATTGTAAATTTTGGGCTTGTACCGTTTTATATCGAAGGAACCAATGAGAAGTTGGTAATGAAATGGTTGATGATAATACCATTTTTAAAGAAAATGATATCAGACCACTTTTTGCAAAATTTAAAAGTGTAATTTATAATAACATTTTTAAATTTCAAGAAAATGTTTTTGCGTTGTTAATAAAACTTTATGAGTACTTTGAACGAGTGTGGATTAATGGAAATTTCCCAATATGTTATTGGAGTCAATATAATAGAGATGTAAGAACGGATAATAGAAGCGAATCATTCCACTCTTCTTTAATAAAGAAGTTGAACACTCCGAAACCTTCAATTGAAAAGTTGTTGTTAGTTCTTGCTAAACATGAAAATTCCGTTATTGTTCAAATTAAACAAATGATAGAAGGAAAAAAACATGAAACTAAAAGCATCTTTGTCCAAAAAAAACAAGCAAATCAGACAATTGACCGAAAGTTTTTACAATGAGAGTCTGACACTGTGTGAGTTCATTAATTCTTTGATTTGCATTGAATCGTTTTTATTACACGAGAACAACTTCGAAAACGTGGAATTGCACAATGAAAATGAAGCGGGTGAGTGGATTCCAAAGAAAAAAGAAGAATCTATTGATGTAACGAAAAATGATTTGACTTTAGATTTGAACATGTATGGCATTTCTTATGTCGATCACGATGAAACTTATAAAGAATGTAATACAATACCTTTATCTAGTGATGACTGTTCGATGGAAATCGAAACTCCAATGCAAATTGAAGAAGAAGTTGAGAATACAACAAAAAATAACACCTCATGTAAAAATACTATTATCGCTGTTAAGAAAACAATTACTAAAAAAAGAAAAACTATTCATGATATTCAAATTGAGAGAAAAAGATTGGCCAAAAAACGCAAAGAATTAAAACCAAAGAAATGATAATTTTAATAATAACATTTAATTGGGTTTATAACAAATTAAATTGAATTTTTATTATTACAAACAGTTAAAATAATTATACAAATTTATTACTAATTATTTATCGTTTTTTTATTTGAAAATGAGTGAAATTTTATAAGTTCGTAATTTATTGCGATTTTTGGTTTAAGCATATTATGTAATATGTTTAATAAGCGGTGTTTGGTTGATCTGAAAGTAACGTTTTTTCATCCAAATTCCTAAATAATAAAATCGTTTTAAGAACATATTTAACTTAAAATTAGCTGAGTACGGTATTGAAACTTGTTTAAATAAGATGTTTATTTCTGTTGTATTTATTAAGTTAGTCACTACCAAATGCATTTTAATATGGTTTTAATGTTATATTTTATCGGGAAATTGACCTAAAAACTACAAAATTGATATTGAATCAAGTTCTATTAATTGAATAATTATTTATAAAAATAGATTTAAAAAAATGTTTTTTTAAAAAAATTGTTAATTGTTGAATTCAAATGAACTTTTGTTGAATTGTTATTATTGCCCACATTATTTTGTCCTACATTATTTTTGCCAACATTTTTTTGTCCTGTCGTCGTTAATAACAACAATTAAGAAAAAAAAGAAGAAAACTAGTCAATTATATTTTCATTTTTATTTTACCTATTTTTATATTATATATTTTAATACACATTACTGAAAAATATGTTTGTTTGATCAAATTGATAATTCCATTTTAACTATAACACAATACATATTGAAAAATATTATTTTTTTAACTAATAATATATGATATAAATTTCAAAACAACAACAAAATGTTGAATTAATAAGTTAACTTTACGAAATAATAACTGAATAAACTTTATCTCTGTTTATGTACAAAAAACAAATCACTTTTTTCTTATTGTATTTTAACTAAAAAGATCTTAAATTAAGAACCGTGTGTCAATTTGAAGTATAAATGACTGATAAATTTCGAAGCGTTCTAATGAAAACTTTAATGCACGTTTTTTTTAACAATTGTTGACCATTTAGAACAAGTGGAAATTTAAAAAAAAAATGAAGACCATTAGTTTGCGCGAAAACTAATCGATTTCTTGTTTTTGAATTTGTTTTTAATTATTCTAAAAATAAAATGTGATCTTGATAAAACTAACCCATTTTTTACATTTTCACCAAAAAATCAATTAGGTTGACTTGCAAAAGTTAAGTCGGAAGACAATACTATTTAATGTAAAACTGTTATTATAAATCAAATCATTATTCTTACAAGACTGAACATTAGAGCTTTAAAAACAATTTACAATATCCCTATTTACAAATTTTACATTATCACAGTTAAATACAAATACTATAATAAATTTAATAACCAAAGATATAAATTTAAATAAATGCAATTTTTTAAACTTTTTTGTTTTTGACTTGCCATTTAATTATTTTTTTAGCCGCTTTTTATTATCATATACAGTTGTGCCTCGATATCTTGAACTTTTTTTGTAAAAATGTCTCAATAACAAATATAAAAATAGACTTTTTAAATATTTTGTAAACATGAATCAAATTTGCCAATAAATTAATTTTTAAAATAACTTTCAATTTTTAATCAACTGTTTGTTCTTGTATTCAAATTATTTTTCCTGTATTCATTACTTTTTAAAGTTGAGTTGGTAAATTAAAACCAAATAATGAAATGTGATATTTATTAAATTGTTATGATATTATGATATTTAAAAATAAAAAATTATTACATGTTATAAAAAGGTTATGAAACTAATTAAAGACATTAATGTCTACACAAAACAAAGATTTATATGTTATCATTGATTTGGGTACCACATTTTCAAGTTTGAGTTACTCTGACAATAATACCCAACGTGTTACTATGCTTGATTTTGGTATTGGTAGAATAGTATCGGCTTTGACAGTCAATTTTACTCAGACCCCGATAGGCGTATCTGTGGAAAATACAAACGTCATTGGTCAATACAAGATGTTCATTGGTCTGAATTATGATGATCCTGCTATTCAAACAATTTTCAACGAACTTTCATACAAAATTGACAAAGATGGCCACAACCGAATTACAATTCCAGTAGTTTACAACGGCAAACAATACTCTTTTTACCCGAAGAAGTATCTGCTTTTGTTCTTTCAAATTTAAAGAAACAACTCATCCATAAAACGGGAGTCAAAGAAATTAATATTCGTGCCGTGTTGTGCTGCCCCGTTTCGTTTAATGACGCACAAAAGGAAGCTACTTCAAGGGCTGCTCAATACGCTGGAATCGATGTCGTCAAATTAATCCTGGAACCAACTGCTGCATTTTATTTCTATGGCATTCGAAACCACGGATTTAACATTGAAAATGATGTCACCAAAAAAGACACAAAAGTGCCTTTTCGATACCCTAAAATGCCAACTGAAATTAATGAAGGAATATTCTTGACCTTCGACTTTGGAAGAGGAACTTTGGAAACAACCGTCGCTCAACTTAAAAATTCAAATATTACGTTTTTGGCGGTGAACGGGGATCCGAAACTTGGAGGTATTGACATCGACTTAAAATTGACAAAATATCAAAATGAGGTGGAAAAAAGAAGATGAAAATAGATTCAATACTGTCTTTTTTGTTGGTAAGAAGCTCACTCCAAGCAACGAAAAGATATTAAAACGACGTAAACACAGACTTCAAAATTAGTGGAAAAAACGAAAATTGCTCTTTCAATAGCACAACAAAGTGTTGTTGATTTGTCAGAGTTTTATTGTGGAGTTGATATTGACGATGATGTTGAAACATCGAACATAGCAATTTCAAGAGAAGACATTGAAATTGGGTGCAAAGATATTTTCAGAGGTGTTTAAATCTTGTCGCACAAACACTTTTGGAGTCCAAAGTGCCAAAGAACAAGTTGACCAAAATTCTGTTAGTAGGAGGGAGTTCACAAATGCCGTATGTGCAAACATTACTTGAGAAAGAGTACGGCAATATAGTGTTAAAGGATTACGACTGTAATGTTGTAGTAGCTGAAAAGGCTGCTCTATATTGTCGCAATATGGCACTTTATGGGGAAACAAATGAAAATGAAATTACATGTAACGAAATTGAAATGAGCGGAGTGGATGATACTAACAAGAAGGTGATGGTACCAATTATTGAAAAGGGAACAAAAATTCCATTCAGAAACACGTTCCCCGTTTTTCCCATTAGAAATGACGTGATTGTCGAATTGTATGAAAACAAAAAGAAAATCGGCGTGTTCGTTATTGATAACATTCAGAAAAAGACCAATAATGAGTTGTTCGAATGCGAAGTTAAAATTAATACATTTTGGTATTTTTGGAGGTAAAATGTATCGGGAAAAACAGATATGCAGTGAATGTTGACAGAGAAAAGATACAG